AAGGTGAATACAGGAAAGAGTAAGGTTATGAGGATAACAAAAAGATTAGGTGATGAAAGATTGAATATCAGATTGGAGGGAGAGAGTATGGAGGAGGTGAACGTATTCAGATATTTGGGGAGGTGGAAAAAACTGCAACTCGGCTTTAGTTAGGAACTATTAGGCCAAATTCGAATACTGACTGCAGTGCAGTGTCCAAACCTTAAAAAAAGAGTCAATGTAGATCAGATATGTAAAGCAAAGAGCTCAAAAGGAAACCAGAGATAAAAAGTAAAGTTGAGATAAAAGTCTGAAAAATGCTTAAGATGCCAACCGGAGATGAGAGGAAGAGGAGACTAAAAAGGTGGAAAATAAAAAGGATGGATAAAAAAATAAAAAATTACATGGAAAAGAGGTACAAAATTAAAAAACAAAAATAAAAACAAAGAAAGAGCCAAAGGGAAAGTCAGATTTTCAAATAGAGGCAGAAGAATGGAATAACTCAAAGACACGGTATAAGGTGATATAATGAAATCAAAAAGTAAGACACAATATATAAGCGGACAAAGAGGCAAAGTTCTGCTCCTGGCAGTTACAAAATAGGAAAACAAACAGGTAAAATAGAAAGAACTTGCAAAATCACATACTCAAGATCCCACTACAAAACCTTAACAATTGACATCTTCCTTCAACTGTTCCAGAATTTCAAGCCATCTTCCATAAATCTAGATTTAACTCTCTAACCTATCTACTCCAGTTTTCACTGACCAGAATTCAAAGAAGTTTTTTCCCATAAAATACTTTACACATGCCTTCCTTTTTTATTAATTTATAGTGGGTGAAGGAGTTGAAAGTGCACTGGGAAGGGAGGTTATCAGGTTCAATCAAGAGCCCCTCACCATCAAGTACCTCCATTGGGTAAACTCCACTTAAGCTAAAGCAACAAATAGGTAATCAAGTTGCACAAACCCATAAGAAATTTTCCCAATGTTTGATACAGAAAGATTGAGGACTAAGGACTAAAAATTAGCATTAAGGGTGGAAACTTTAAAAGTGATTTGACATTCGTCAAGTCAGAAAACATCAAACAAGGGTAACAGAGCCATGAGGGAAGGATACATCAAACAAAAGCAAATTCTGACACTGAGTTTGTTTACATAAAACCAGCAGATGACCAGTTCATACAGAAAGTTTGCAATACAGCACAGTGTAATATTAAGATAATTCTCAACAAACAGAAATTGGGGAATATGAAAAAGCATAAAGGAAAGACAACAACAAAAAGCAATAAACTTGATTAAAAGTCCCACTTCAAGGTACTACAATGCAATGTAACCATAAATATCAATGCTAATTGCTAGAACTAACAAAAACTTGTTCCTTGAACATAAACTAAGCATTACAGGAAGAAATTACATTCACCATCGACTTACAACCTGCGCGACATATGACCACTCGATTTACAACTGTTAGACGCCGTAGATGTTCTCGGAAATAAACAACTGTTTGTGCTGTGCACAGTGTTTCTCATAAACCTTACAGTATAAAATACAGTACTAACAGTGTACAATACAGTACTAACAGCATAAAAAGTAAAGTAAAAAATGAAATACAAAAATAATAAAATAAAATCATTACAATAACTGTGATGTTCTATTCTTATGCTAATATCAACAATAAGGCTTATTTACCTTTCACAATTGATCTATTATGAAGTAAGGTGAAACATCAACAGAATAGACACACAAAAAATACGCCAGAATATATATTATCAAGCATAATATGAAGGCCTGCTGTGCAGATAGGAAAGGGACTTTGTGGACACCTACTTTAGTCACTCTTATGAGAGAAAACAGGTCTAGCATGAGGGCAAACTGTAACAGACACTCATAGCTTACGAAAACACAGCAAAAAAAAAAAAAAAAAAAAAAAAAAAAAAGGAAAAAGGAAAAAGATATTTCCTGAGTACTCGGTAAGTTATTCACCTACTTTGTGAAAACCAATCAATAATAATGAACAGATTGAAGTGATTTCCACAACAAACATAAAAGAATGATTGCTTTACAAGATTAAGATTTAATTTTTGAAGTATCCCTATCGGCAATTTTCCAAGGTTCGACTTACATCCATTTTGACTTATGACCGGTTAGTCGGAACCAAGCTCGGTCGTAAGTCAGACAGTACCTGTACTTAGTGAGAAATTAAGAGGAGAGAAAAGGGAAGTGAATGATGCAATCGGAGAGAAGCCAACAGCATGAATGTGTATAGTCAACAACTGACACCCACAAGAAATTACCCATTTTCAGTACTTTTGCAGGATTGGAGTTTGCAAGTGGTGTGCATAGGTCAGGCAGGCTTTACGTGAACATACTGGTAACAAGATTTTTCCAGTGGTCGAAGAAAATCTAAACCAGTGTAGTAATGGAAAAATTATTTCTGAGAGTGTTAAAATTTCATGATAGATTTTATTAGCTTGTTTTTGGTTCTTCCAAAATAATAAATATATAAGAGCCTAAAATGCAAATTTATTTTTCGATAACCCTACAAATCCCCTAATACTTGTTGAAACAAAGATATATGGCAAACACAGTTGAGCAGCAACAAACTGAAGATATTAAAAATTGAAAACTAGAAAAAACTGTTACAAAATATCTAATGTAGATTGAAATCAAAAGAGACAAACAAATTAGAAGATCTCAGACAACAAAAAATTACCAAATAACTTGTGTCAAAAGAATTTTTGGAAACTGCAACACAAAATCAAATAACAAAAATCAATGAATTTTGCTAGAATTTTGGGGTAGTATTATGAGACCAATACTGGCTTCAAAGTCGTAATATTACAGGACTGAAAATGAAAGGGTTAAGGAAACCAGAGCAGGTCATACAAATAGAAGCTAGTTGGGAACTCCACATGGGAGGAAAAACACATGTCCAACTACACAATTCATCACAGAATAGTCTTAAACAAGTAATTAAACAAACCCACAAACAAACAATGCAAAAATTAATACTGAAGGAAACAAATACATACATGGATAAGGATGAAGATACTTTATGTATCAAGATATGTATTTTCTAACCTCAGAACAATTGCCAAACAAATAACAATGAAGAATCCAAGAAGACCCCTCTACAAACTGAGAGTACTACAATCAAATGGCACCAAAATCTCTAATCTGTATTCTATAAAATGCAGCTGTTGTATAGTACAGTTGATATATGATCAGATATATGCAAAGAGCTCAACTTATGGGGTTCATTCAGGGAAAGGAGTTGCAGAGCCTCAATCTTCTGTCTGCTAACCACAAATCAAATGCTCTACCTAATTGTACTTGGTTAGGTGTATTTATTTACACTAAGAAATGTACACCAGAAAAATGTATGGCATGGCAACAAAATAGAGTTACGGAATATTAACCCTTTCAGGGTTGCGACCTCCACTCTCAAACTTGCTCTCAGGGTAGGAGATCAAAAAAAAAAAAAAAAATTATGAAATGAAAGAGAATCTGTTTCTGAAAGTAATAAAACAAAACGTACAAAATCTGATGGAAAACTGATGAAATTAAGCTTCCACGATTTTTGCAATTTCGTCCACCGAGTCCGATTTTAGGCCAATTCCACTGCCCAAATTCTTAGCTATTTTGCTAGCATGTCTTCCATTCTATCAAGTGAGTACAAGAAACTACCCATTCAACTATTTAAGCTACCCAATAAAGTGGTCAGAAATTGGTATTTTGGCCAATTTCACACAAAATTCAAGAAATGCCAATTTCAAAATAAGGTCCAGAATAAACAATGCAGACATTCCTGGGATTAAAATAACATTTTCTCTGTTCATCAGTAATGTCCCCAGGCCCCTCGTATATTATGCTTGCTTTCCATGTTTAATTTTTTTCACAGAAAAAATTGAAGATTTACTGCTATGCAGACCATTGCATTATTGTAATAATTGTATAAATAATGTCATTATTTTCCTAAATAAGTATTAGACTGGTCAGTTGGACACACATTGGACAAGTGACATCATTTATGTACTGTACAATATCAGTAACAATTGACAATTTCTGCTATTTTGAGCTCAATTTCAAGCTACTCTCAGTCCTAGCCCCAATCTCTGTAATATATCTTCCATTCTATCAAGTGAAACCAAGAAACCGAGAATACAATCATGGCCCTATGTTGTACATCCTACAAGATTGATGGACTGAACACATCGACTCCAGGCTGAGGGACTGATTACCTCAAACTCCTCTTCTCCTCACACCTTTCTACTTTGTATTGGACTGATGAAGCCACTGTGTGGCAAGACGTTTCCTCAATATAAAAATCATGGTTGCAGTTTTTCTCATTACGTACTGCATGCTGCAGGATTTTTTTTTTGTAAGTGCACACTTACCACAGACACTCTCAAATCTAGGCCTAAATTTACTGCTCACAGCTTATCTGAGTGTGCTGAGCTCATGGTGTTGTACTACGGGACTGACACTGGCTTCAAAGCTGTTATACAACGGGACTGACCCTGAAAGGGTTAAAACCAAAGGCCTTGGAAATGACCTTATTGCAAAACGGATACAAAGAGTGATGATAAACACACAAGTTATAAAAGGATTCAAGAAAGCAGACATGGAAGAGTTTTAAGGACCTGCAACAGAGAGAACAAGAGGCCACATTTTCATATTAAAAAAATATTGAACAAATAACTGAAATTACTTCACAAATGGTAAAAAAACTGAAATGGGATACACGAGGTAGCATGCCTCACAACCGTTGGAAACTTTAAACTATTTATGATTAATTAACAATAAAACACCATAAGAGCTCTACTCCTAACTGCTAATAGGTAAACACACACTCCCACTCACCCTATAACTGCATTCATGAACAAAACCCATGACAATTAAGAGGATGTTTTTTTTCTTTACACATTGGTATAAACATTTTAACTTGGGGATATTGTTAAGGTAATTGAAGAGCTCAAGAACAGTCTAAACAGTCTGATATTATAAATTCGTTGGTACCTCTTTTTCTGCTTCCTCCATGGCTTTCTTGATTTTATATCTCTCTAAAATCATTTGCCGTCGTGCTTTTTCTTCTTCCTTCTTTTGTAGTTTTTCTTCTTCTTTTAACTTTTCTGCTTCTCTTTTTGCTTGTGCTTCCATCTCCTTCCTTAATCTTGCCTCCTCCTGTTCCTGCTTACGCTTCATGGACATCATCATCAGCTTTTCCTTCTTCTTCTCCATCTCTGATGCAGATGACTAAGATGGGTAGGTGTAAGTTTAATTTCCTTTCATATAATTAAAGTTTTCAACATAAGCACCTTAACCCCCAGACTATATACTTCAGAAAATTTATGCATATTCTCAGATACATTTTAAAGTTAAAAGATTGAGTACAGTATAAAATGTATTTCGACCTAAAAGAACAAGCTTTAGTTCATTTAAATACAAAACACAGTTTTGCTAAATGATAACACAATGAAAATGTTCACACAAGTTTTCTTTACTAAGAGTAAAGTCAACATATGTTAGACAAGACATCAGTTAGTAGTCTGCGGAAACTTAGGTTCATCCAAAAAATATTGATAATACTTAGTAGTAGCATAGTAAAATTTAAAAATCAATATTTCAGTCATGAACAGTTTAAGAATTAAAATATTGAGAATTTAATATATACTGATTTTATTGTAAAACTATACCAAATGCTAAAGAAAATATAAGAGATTTCTTTCCAGAACAACAATTTTTTTTTTTTATGAAGTTGGTCTGGATCATAAGTAAGTTGTATGTAAATCTTTTGTACCATGTTTTTTCCTAGTATAAGGTATAAATGCTTGTATAAAACTCAATATATGGCAATGTCACTGCTGGAGAAAAAAAAATTGCATACAAAGTTTTTGGTGGCAATTATTCTCGTATAAAAAAAAAAGCTTCATCAAGTTGATCACTTTTCACAGAGCAAAACACTGTTGAAATGAAAGCTTGCTTTGCATGCATCTTTTAGTCCTTCCTGACAGCATCTCATCCATATATTCAAGGCACTTGCTCTTCAGTATGCATTTCCTTGTACAGATATCCCTATCCCACATGCTAATTCAATCTATAGACCCACATCTAAAGAAAAATTGTAGGTCTGTGATGTCAAAATAATAATACTAAAGAAGTTAAAATGTCTCAAACATTGATAATTAGTTAAATTTCACAGTGACAGAAAATACAACACAAAGAAATCTGAACATATGAGCCTCCGAGACCCCCCTTTCATCACATTCATGAGCTAGAGAGATTCTTAGTGATAGTGAAATCCAAATAAACATCATGTTCTTCATTGTTGTCTACTGCCTCAAATGCTGTACTGAAGAACGTCAGTATATTTGTCAGGCAGGAATGACCTCTTGTGAATCAGTGCTGGGATTCATTAGCCAAATGGAACAGAATGCTTCCTCTGTAAGCCATGCATGTTGTAAGAGGTGACTAAAATGCTAGGAGCAAGGGGCTAGTAACCCTTTCTCCTGTATGTATTACTAAATTTAAGAAGAGAAACTTTCGTTTTTCTTTTTGGGCCACCCTGCCTCAGTGGGATATGGCCGGTTTGTTGAATGATGATGATGTAGATTTTTGTACTCCATGTCATTTTCCATTTGTGTGGGGGTTTCCTGATCAAATAACTTTACTAGTATCTTGTGTACACAGAAACAGAAGTCAAAACTCAAAATACAGAAACAAATAAAGGGCAAAATATAGTAGAGGTCCGACTTATAAGTCTCTAAAATATGACGTTTTGCGTTTACAAAAATGGCATTTTGGAACTAATTAATTATGAAACAAATGTTATTGTTGTTGTTTATAGAGCCATTGACAGCATATGCCACTCTGCCTATCTTTTTCACCCTCAACCTTTGCCAGCATTTCTTCTCCAAGGTAAATATTTACGTACACTTCATAAAACCAGTTTATTTCTCTACATTCTCTATTATGTTTCATTATGTTTTTACACAACATTTCTTATTTATAAATACACTGTTTCATTGTTTTCCTTATAACACTAGTGATCTAGTGCAGTTAGCCCCACAAACACTCCGTTTTCTCTTATAAGAGCATAGGAAGATATAGTCAAAGTGGGTGAGGGAATGGCCACCACCACTCATCACAATGACATATTTTATTCATTCTAGAGTATATATCATGTTTCTATGCTATTTACATTGCTTATTATGTCATATTAGATCAATTTTGATAGATAAATAAGCCAAAGAGTTGATATTTGCGTTATATTGAAGTATTTTCTCCTGCCTCCTGAGAGCAGGAATTCTGCTGGAATGGATTAATGGCATTTCAATTAATTTAAATGAGGAAAACTGATTTGATATATGTATGAGCAAATTGAGTTACGAGCTAGGTCACAGAATGGATTAAACTCATATGTCGAGGTTCCACTATACACATTTTTCTTGGCTAGCTTTTACCAAATGCATTCAAACTTTGTTAATTTTATGCATAAATGGAAAACTCACATTCGTTCTGTAAAGACTGGTCAAGAACTAAAGACTGTAAAGTATCAGTATTAACACCCCAAATAAAACAGAATACCTTACAACAACAACACCTAAATTTTCTGCCTTAACACTCACACCATCAAATTTTAATAGGTATGAAAGGGCTCAATCAAATCAATGCGGTCAAGTGGAGGCAGGACCAAGAGCTGGACTTCCTCAACAAAGTCAAATGGGAAATTTCTAAGCATTTTATTACTATCCAGCTACACCTACTCCACTGTAAGGCATGAGGGGAGGGGAGGGAAAATACGAAGAATAGAAAATGATGGGTGCTGGAAAGCAATTGTATTCAAAGTAGAATTTCTTTTGAGATATTATCTAATAGAGTGGTTGAAATATATTTAATAATTTACAATTGTCATGTCAATAATACCGCAATATGTTTTCTTTAACCCTAAAACTGTCCTCACGTAGATATACGTTGACGTGCGGTGGGCACCGAACGTACATCAACATTTTATTTTTCATTCCTTCAAATTTGGTGCGATAGGCCTGAGTCGCCTAGACATGAAAGAATGGGTCTGTGCACTCAGTGTGTGCACTATGAAAAAAATCTAGGAGCACTTAGTACCTTGTGGAAGCACCAGTTCAACTGAGCACCAGCTAGAGCAAATATCATGGCAAACACCAAGGATTCACTGATGTCATGTCATATTAACACTCACATTTTAAAAGGAAAGTAAAAACAGGTTAGATAAATGCATAAGTGGGTGTGGGTGAGTGTGAGTTGGACCTGACTAGCTTGTACTACTAGGTCAGATATAGTGCTCCTTCTTTCAGTGAATGTGACCTGACTAGGTGGGTCATTGGTCTAAGCTGGGGAGTGACATGGACTGCTTTGCATAGGCCAGTAGGCCTGCTGCAGTATTCCTTCTTCTTTATGTTCTTAAGTATTTGGTTGGCTAGCTGGCAGGCTTTGGCTGTCTGTCTGTATCTGTCTATATTTGTCTGTCTGTCTATATCTCTATATATCTGTCTATATCACTGTCTATTTGTATCTGTCTCTCACATGTAATCATAAATAGTTATACATAATGTAAATTACCTAGGATAACCCAAAAATTCCAGGCCAAGTGCTATATAGTGTTTGTAGACATGAGACATAAATAAACATGACACAAGTAATAGCAGTGTCACTTGCTCAGCATCAGGGAGCAGCACATACACCACAAACCAACAGGTTTACTAGCCGCTCCCTGAGACAGACAAGCAGATGGAAAGACAGACACACAGGCAGACAGAAAGACAGATAAGCAGAACTAGACAGACAGATAGATGTACAGAGACAGACATGTTTGTGTGAAAGAGTAAAAACATATAAAGGCAAGGTTCCCCCCTCCAGCAGTGCACATTCATCAAATGTCACTGTTATCTGATGCTGTCATAACACCATTATTCAAGTAGTTCATATTACACTCCAGGCACACAAAAGACAGATAACCTGAACTGGACAGACAAGCAGAACTAGGCAGACAGATGTACAGATACAGACATATAGACAGGTAGACTAACAGACAGACATACAAAGACATGTGTGTGTACAAGAGTAAAAACATATAAAGGCAAGGTTCCTTCCAGCAGGGCACATTCATCAAATGTCACTTATCTGACCCTTGTCATAACACCATGCTTCAAGGGGTTTCATACTCCAGCGTGTCTAAAACATTGCTGGGACCTATAAATACTTTGTATATATTTCTAGACAATAGTAAATGACCAGGGCAGGTAAAAATGTTCACCTGTCAGTGTGACTGTTACAATTTGAGTACTATTTTAGTACACAATATTAGTGTCAGTACAAACATTGGCTATGAAATCACAAGAACTATTATAAATTGTAATTATCAGAACATAAAATAAAAACAAGAAAAAAAAAGGTAAATCGGCAACACTTCTGCAAGCCGCAAGGCTGGATGTTGCCGTCAGGTGAGCATCCAGAGCCAACTTCACGGTCTTATATCTCAGTAAGTACTGGCCCTAATTTTTTTTTTTTGTATTATACCACACAGTAAATACCCCTCTTTAATTTAAAAAAAAAAAAAAAATTTTTTATTTTTTCAAAATATTTGGAGTGCCACGCAAGTGAATGTAGATCTTCGTTTGGACAGTTTAACTCTTTCAGGGTCAAGAGGCCCTCTCCTAAACTCGTTCTCAGGGTCGAAAATTTTTCGGGGGGGGGGGGGGGGGGGGGGGGGGGGGGGGGGGGGGGTCTTATGAAATGATAGAGAATCTTTTCCCTATCATAATGACACCAAAAGTATGAAATTTGATGGAAAACTTACAGAATTATGCTCTCACAAAGTTAGTGGTCTCAATGATGTTTACGCATCGGCGATTTCGCCCACTTTGAGCCCTATTTTTGGCCAATTCCTGTGCACTAGTAGACAAAAATCATATTTATTTCGCTAGAACTCCATTTTTCTATTGAATGAGTACAAGAAACCACCCATTTACCAATTTCAACTATCCAATAAAGTGGTTAGAAATTGGCAATTTTGCCAATTTCACACAAATTTCAGAAGATGCCAATTTCCAAATAGGGTCCAGAATAAACAAGACAGACATTCCTGGCACTAAAATAACAACTTCTCTGTTTGTTAGTCATGTAACAAAGCCCCTCTTACATTTCTTTTGCTTTCCACTTTGAATTTTTATTCACACAAAAAATAGAAGATTTACTGTTATGCAGACTACTGCATTAGTTATAGAAATGGTATAAATAATATCAGCGCACTTGTGAAAGAATATAAGACTCACCAGTTGACGTGTATTGGACGCTTGGCATATTTGTTTACTTTTGGACATTGGTAAAAATCGAACAATTCTGCTACTTTGAGCTCAAATTCAAGGTACTTTTCATTGTGAAACCAATCAAAATTTTCTCAATTTCTGTAATATGTCTTCCATTCTATAAAATGAGACCAGGAAAACTAGAATACAACCATAAATACCATACAAAAATACAGTGCAAAGTCGCTGTTTTAATCCAAAAACACTATCAGTTTTTTTCTCATTACGCACTGTGTGCTGCAGGATTTTTTTTACACTGTGCACACTGACCACATAGACCTATTCTTTCATATGTAGGCCTACCAGCTTTCTCTCACTAGATTTGAGGGCGCTAGAATTTAGGCGTTCTAGTACGTCAATAACGCTGGTGCGCAAGCCGTACTAATATGTCGGAAACCCTGAAAGGGTTAAGGGTTAAATAATTATTAGTAATTCCGTGTCATAGTACAATGCTTAAAAAAAAAAAAAAAAAAAAAAAAAAAAAAAAAAAAAAAAAAAAAAAAAAAAAAAAAAAAAGGTTAAATTATTATCATATTCATGAATATCTGAAAATATTGTCACACAAAGCTTAATTTTTAGTTAACAACATTCCCACACAGTATAACTAAACCAATTTTTTTTAATAAAAATAACATACAGTACACACAAAAACAACGTACTGCAAGGTCCTAGAATGAATAGTGATGAAGCTGGGAAACTGAGTCACACTTCAGGAATCATGAAATCGTAATGACACGATTGCAGACAAACCATACCACGGGCGGGGATAGAACCCGCAATCAGTCATAAAACTCCAGACTGATGAGCTAGCCAGCTGGTCTAGTGGCTTGGACGTCGGTCTGGAGTTTTATGACACTGATCACGGGTTCTATCCCCACCCATGGTATTTTTTTTTTTTCACAGTTCAGGAATTTTTCCTCTCTGCACTGTCTTGGTGAACCATCACAGGTTATCAGAACTTTTATGCAATTTCAAATATAGGACCACATTTTAAATGAATATTAAGCAATGAATTAGTTATGAATTAGAGTAAAAATGAAATAAATACTGTATGCATAATTATATAAGAAATTATAGTTTAATATATAACTGAACAATTTTTGTTAAGGACCTCGTTTTTTCTAAAATAATTTCTTAAAAATAAAATATATGTAGAATATTTATTTATGCATGAAGTGAAGGAAATCTTTTTCCAATGTAGCAGAGAGCAGACAAAAAAGCAACTGGGGCACAAAATACTCATGCAAGGTGCTCAAAACCTCCCATGAAGAGGTAACATCCATGAGATGACATTAAAAACATCACTCCAGTCCTCTATCTCTATTATTTTTACTTTTGACTAACTATGTATATTCATTAGGTTTATATTATGGAATGTGTGAACATTTTTGTTTCTTGCACATCAGTATAATGATCAACTTAAGATGAGCAAGCTTGTGCTTCTTCTAATCAATGAGAGAATGAAATAAGCTAATACTCAAGCAGTGAAAAAGACTGTTTGATTTTTATCACTTAAATTTTGTCCTAAGATTAATTTCAATACAATACCCAATGATAACAGACAATATTGAAAACTGTCTGCATATCTGCATACAAATGCAAAAACATTCACTTGAAAGGTAGATAGATTTCTGATGTAAAATATTTAAAAGAAATAAAATATGCTATATACTCTTACCTTCCTACATGTCTCGACAAATGTGTTAGATAAAGATACTCACATTCTCACTGTTGGTTAGGTCATCTGCAATGACTATGGCCATGCCAGCAGTGGGTTCTGCTAATTGGTTCTTACTGGAAAAGGGAGCCATTTCATCCGGATGTATCTCAGGGCAAGGCTCATGCTCCTCCTGTTCAGTCTCCGAAGGAGAGTTATGAGATAGCCCATTGATTTGGGGTGAGGGATAGCCACGTTTTGAGCTTGACTGGAGACTACTGAGGGTAAAAGGTGATTTAGCCATGCTGGGGCTAAGGGTTTGGGTCATGCTGCCACTCTGAGGATCAAACGAACCATTGGAGGTCCGACTGGGTCGGATCTGAACGGGCATATACACACACACATGCATTAATGCAGGGATAAGTACGTTAGGAATCACACACATGAAAAAAGCTCAAGTTGTTACTAGATATGCAATAAAACACTGAGTATAAACTAAATAAAAAAAAGACTACAACACAACATTTAATAATTCTTATCTGATTATACTGTAGTAGGTGAAGATCAATAAGCAGATGTTAATGGATTCTTGATTTATGCTGTGATGAAAGGTTTGTAAGAAATCTTCAAAGTATGTTTAATACTTACAGGCACAACAGGAAGATCTTCTCTGCTCGGAGTTGTTGCTGGTGTTGAAGGACTGGAATTTTTTCGAGACATTTTCTTGTTCCGTAACTGGGGTTTAGGTTTTCTTGGGCCACTATTACTTTCAAATGATATGTAAAACCCTTTATCACCTTTTGGACCCTCTTGAAGAGGCTCTGCTTTAATATCAATTTCATCATCATCCTCATCATCATCATCAAGGCCACCAGTGTCTTGATGATAAGGCGGAGTCCGAGATCGTTGTGGTGGGGCAGGCTGGGGTAAGTCTACATCATCATAAATTGGAGTGCCCTTCTTTGTTGGCACTCTGAAAGTTTTGACTCCTAAACTGGGCCTTGTGGGTGACCCGGGTTCATGGGAAATACGATAAGTTTTGCTACCTGAAGAAATGGATAATCTTTTCAATTTATCACTCGCATCATCTTTCTGATTTTCACTATGTTGTTCATCAGTAGAGTTAATAAACGAAACACTTTGTGGTTCCATATCATCAGGTGGAGGGGCAGCTACAGGGGCATGAGAGACAGAGGTCTGTCTTGTAGGACTAGGGGACTTCTGCTGGCGCTGTGGAGGTTGTCTACTAGGAGAAGACTGAGCACTGGACCTAAGGCTGCCTGGACCACGACTGTCTGCACCAGGACCCCAACCATCTCCACCTGTACCTTCACCATGTAATCTAAATGGTGGTGTCTGACCCATTTGTCTTTGATGGTCACCTGAAATGATAGTAAAATAAATGACCCTCCACATCCCTTAGGTCTCTTAATATACAGTAAATTTCTGACATCAAGCCTTAAATACATGCAGAACTTGACATGATTAATGAAAAAAATAGCATAGGCATAGTCTCCCAAAAAATACAAATATTTAACTGTCTGTACATGTTACTGAATTATCAACATGTATTTGACAACCTACTTCACTTCTATGATAATTTTTAAGTGTACTGAATATATGTATGATAACCATAAAATGACTCACTGGAACCGTATGTTTGTGCATTAGGAGGATACCCTCTAAATTGGTGCTCAGGACTATAAAATCCTTGGCCATTCTGGTACATAGCCTGAGGAGGTAGTGATTGTGGTTGGCCATGAAGCATAAAGCCTTGGCCTGTGCTGCCCATCTGAGGCTGAGTGTTCACTTGACTCAGTGGAGGCATTTGGGCAGGATGGCTCATCTGGTAGCCAGGGTAGTAATTAGGATGCTGTCCAGCCATCATATAATCACTCTGGGGCATCATAGGTCTGCACGAAAAGAAGCATGAGAAACTCACAAGTACAAAAAATAAATACATATAAATTTGCATTTTAAATTCTTTATTCCCCTTAAAGCACACCCTTTCCTAAATGGGGTAACTCTATATAGATACTTTTCCAGACACTTCAACGGCTTTTAAGTAATAAAAAACAAAGTAACTGAAGAATGGATTGAAGAAATCTATATACATAATGTTTAGTTTTCAGTTAAAACACTTACCACTTGCTTGCATTGATAATGAATATGTCTAGAGAACAGCGTTTGTCTCGTGTTTACAAAAAAAAAAAAAAAAAAAAAAAAAAAAAATGGTAACTATAACAATGACTTTTTTAAATGTACAATGTGCTCAAAGTATGTATACATATTCCCCAGAGAAATTATGTCAAATAAAAATGATCCCAAATGGATAAATAGGAGACTGAAGCATCTATTAGGACAGAGGAGAGGAATTTTTAGGCCCATCAAAAGGGAAGAGAAAAACCTTACTGACCAATATGTTCTTATCAAAAGAGGTAAAGAAGCTAATTAGAAAGACTAAAGATGACTATGAAATTAAAGTAGATAGTGAATCAAAGAAATCCAAAAGAGTTCTTTTAACCCTTAAACTGTCCAAACGTAGATATACGTTTTTTCAACATTTGAAAGTATGTAAAAAAAACGTAACCTTCTTTTTTCATTTTACATTTGAAAATGTGTACAAAAAACTTTGATCTACATTTTTTTTTGTTATATTTGAAAATATTAAAAAAAAAAAAACATAGATCTACTTTTGGAGCACTACACATGTGAACGTAAATCTGTCTGGACAGTTTAAGGGTTAAGTGAATAGGACCGAACCATCGTCAAAAGTTTCTTTGTCCAATGTGCGGGTTATTTGTGTATTATGCCTAGTTTTTCTATATAGGCTGAATAATAGATTCTGAGGAGGATACTAATAAATTTCAAGGAGAATTGGACAAATTACTGTCATGGTCTGAAAAGCAGCAGATGCAGCTCAAAGCGGACAAGTGTAAAGTCCTAATCCTTGGGAATGAAAATAACCCTCATAGTTATATACTAGGTGATGTAGACCATGATCATACAGAATGAGAAA